GTTACGGCCCTGAACTAGGTTTCAAACAGTTTTAGCTTCGTCCTCCTTCCAATTTCTCGTACTAACCAGAACTTCTCTAAACTTTTAAACACACCACGAGCTTTCGGAAGTCACGGTTTGTCCTTATTACATCTTCACCTCCTTCTTTGTCTACTGTTGCTGCTCAGCATATAAACTCATCAGTATCCTCAACCTGCCGTCTATAGTTGTACAAAATTATTCCTTGAACGCGTACAAAATTAAAAAAGTTTACAGCTATTCTAAGAGTTCTCCTTACAGTGCTGTTCATTAGTCATAGTTAACAAAATTAAAAAATTAATTTTCCAATATTTGAATCATGTTTGTTGAGAGGGCTTCTGAATTTTTCCCATCAATGGGGGAGGGGGGTCCGGAAAAGAAAACAAATGCTAGAATTTTTTCTAAAATTAATAGATCCTCCAAATAGATTACAAACGCAAGCAGCAAAGTATATTTATGCAACGTGTCAGGATGCCGAAAGCTCATGAAGATGTACAAGAAACTACGTTTTTAGACGCTCAAACATACAAATGCACACGCCGTTCGCGGGCATCTTGTACGTCAAAATATTTATTTTCTTGACCTGAGTACGGAAGCCCAGGAGGGCCATCATCATTATTTCGTAGCGTCAAACTTTATTTCGTAGCAGCAAACTTTATTTCGTAGCAGCAAACTTTATTTCGTAGCAGTAAACTTTATTTCGAAGCGTTAAGCTTTATTTCGTAGCGGCAAACTTTATTTCGTAGCGTCAAGCTTTATCTGGTAGCGTCAAACTTTATTTCGTAGCGTCAAACTTTATTTCGTAGCGTCAAACTTTATTTCGAAGCGTCAAACTTTATTTCGTATAGCGTCAAAGTTTATTTCGTAGCGTCAAACTTTATTTCGTATAGCGTCAAATTTAATTTCGTAGCGTCAAACTTAATTTCGTAGCGTCAAACTTAATTTCGTAGCGTCAAACTTTATTTGGTAGCAGCAAACTTTATTTGGTAGCGGCAAACTTTATTTCGTAGCGTCAAACTTTATTTCGTAGCGGCAAACTTTATTTCGTAGCGTCAAACTTTATTTCGTAGCAGCAAACTTTATTTCGTAACGTCAAACTTTATTTCGAAGGGTCAAACTTTATTTCGTAGCGGCAAATAATAATAATAATAATGAAAACTGCAATTGTAATGGCTCTTAGTAAGCAAAAATACTGGTAAATACTGGCAATATATAAGTCAAGCAAAATGTAATAACTTATGATGATATACCATGGACCGCGGAGCAGGGGGGGCTAGCAATTGATTTTAGAGCACAGTCACTGAAAGGGAACGGCGAGTTAGAATGAAATTGTGTGATTTAGTAAAATACTAGTCTAAATTAAAGTTGAGTTATTGTTTATGATGCATACTTTGTTAATTCAAAACAAAGCAGACCTTAAAAAGATAAGAAGCTTAAATTCAATATAAATTGAGTCAAGTAATACTTACGTTCCTGTATTGTTACCCATACGGAACGAATGTTTTCTATCTTCATTGCGATGAACAATGTCAGTCCCCTAAAAAATTACTTACGTTTTTTTCTTGGTACAATCTCAGCTGAAGGACTCATGCTGCCATGATTTACTAGTGCATCTCTGTCGCTGTAGAATGAAGTGTCTTCATGAACGACTGCGTCATCATTCTGTACAACATTTTCTTCGTTTGACTTTTTAGACGGCAAAGGAGTTTCAAGCAAGTCGTATAATGTGCCAAATAAACAGAGCAAACCAAGAGTACCACAAATGATCCTTGTTAAAAAAATGTAATTGGTTAATAGCATGACATGGATCATAGTCATATCATGTGGGAAGAGAGCATTAAGAAGGATACTATCAAAAAGGGACGTTTTTTACTCTATCAGAACTATGATTGTTTGCAGCATAATGTCCTATGATGTACTATGTCATTTCAGATGCCGTTTCATCTCCTTCTTTAACTTCAGCAGTCATCAAACATGTCAAAAAGAACAACCTCAACCAAAGACACAACCTTAGCTTTAAAAGTGTATCGAGCAAGACTTTTATTAGCACATGATATCAAGGAATCCATGCAGACCTGCCTTCACCCACAATGATAGGAATAGCACTGACATAAAGATAGTATGGATACTGTTAATGAGAGGTACGTACTTCAACATCAATAGCAGCATTGTTCCCCTTAGGGACTGCGACATAGCTATCAGGAGTGTGGCAGAGTTTGGGTTAGGTTTGCGAAATGAGTGAAAAGAACAGAAAAATTAATTACATGAAAAATTTGTGCGATGCCGGCCCCCGCATATTGCCGTTGAGAGAGAAAAAGAACGAACTGCGCACGCATTTATCTATCGTCGCTGCTTCGCAGACAGACAAAAAACAGTTTGGGTTCGGCTGCGCGCAGGCTATTTAAAATATTCATTTAAAAAATTCCTTTACATTCAAAATAGAAACATTGAGTTTGAAATAAATTTGAGCTTGATTCTCCGTCTTATCGTCGTAGAAACTTCGACTATTTATTGTTTGTATTGTGGCTTTGTATTCCACGAAAGCACGTGACCATTACGTAATTTCACAGGTAATCCGCAGTTCACTAAGATCTTGCGTTGATAAATAAAAGGGTGCGCTCGTTGATTTCTTCTCTCAAGCAATAGTTGGGCAGCCTTTGACTTACAAAGTCATAAAAAACAACTTTTGTGCTCACTGTAACTTCCGGCCTAGGCTCACTGCTTTGTCCGTGGTCTAAAACTAAGCGTGGAATATGGWGAATCGTGGTACAAAGGTACATGTACGTAGTTGTCAATATCAGAAGTACATAACTTCTGTGAATATATAAAATTCTCATAAAATGAAGAAATGGGAAAAAAGAGAAGACGTCATGATGATACAAGCCATTGTATTTGAAATTGCTTTTTGAAAAGACACGGTGTCTAGTTAGTGCTAGTTAGTTAGTGCTATGCAACACTTTAGGCAGAGAAGAGGCAAAACGTTTTTCACAAAAAATTACATAGTCAATCATCATAAATTTGTGTTTGTCAAAAATCATAGCATCACAAGGAACATAGTTAATATTAACTATGCAAGGGAACGAGAAAAGAAATAACAAATCAAAGAAAATACAATCAACACAATGACTGCATTTAATCTACAATCTAAATATAAGTATGTCTTACAAGCACAGTATATCAGCAGACCCGTACTCTAACGGTTTGACACAGTTGACATGTATGGGATCTGGCCTCGTTGAATTCAATGTCTTTGCTTTGAGGTGAAAAGCAGCTAAATACAGAAACATAAAGAAAATAATATAATTGAAACCTGATTATTATTTTAAAATTTTGCATGGGTTACTAATGTAAAATTAGTTAGCATTAGTCGAATATTAAATATTGATGTTTGGCTCGTAAATTACTGTTGTTTGATTCATTTTTTCTACTGACATATTTAATTGCTTTTCAAACTCCATTTGAATTGGCTTAAAAGATTGCCTCCTTGTCTTTAGATATGGCCTGTCTGTTGTGAAATGTTGCATGTTTGACTTGGACTATTGCCTGTTTGGCTGGAAATATTGTCTGTACAGCAAAATACACCAATAGAAATATTGCCGGTACAAACGCCTCACTCTACGGCTACGGTAGATTTTACCAAGGAAACGTCTGCAATGAAGAAAACTAAGGATAACGAGTAAAGGCGTGGAAAAAAGAGCAAAGAATGTTATCGTTGTGGCGCTACGGATCACTTGGCAGATAAATGCAAGTATCGTACGACGAAATGTCATTTATACTATTTTCACTACCGAAAATAAAGCATGAAATTAGCATAACAATAGATATCCCATAATGCCTTGTAGTGCATAAATAAGCGTGATCTGCACGCTTTGTTCATTCCGATTCAAACCACGGACACATACTGGTTTAATTCGCCCACCCACCCTACCCCCGACATGGCGTGTGGAACCTACAACACCCATGGATATACCGCTGTCCACTTTCGTAGCCAGCAGTCTTTTCAGACCTGCCCATATCTCATTGTATATTCATGTGTATTGTAGGTAGTGATAATATTGTACTATTGTTCCACTTCAGCTTACCTAAGATATCTTCTATGGCAACTGCTACGTCATGCTCACTACATGCACTTGGTACGCAAACGCCCCATCGAAGTGGTAATTTCTTAATGAAACAAAAAAAACATTATACAAATTAACGGGAATATAGATATGAGAACTTTGCGATCGTTTGTTTCGCTTTACAAACTGTAGCCTCAAAAAGCTGCTTTTTTGTAACCACGGTTGTACGACTTCAACTTAACACTTAACACTAAAAATAACAACTCGGTATTAAGTCGTCGCTCAGAATCCAACCTCTCGTAAAGTTTGTTTTTTGTTTTTGTTTTTTGTTTTTCATTCTCCAAATAGCCAAAGGCCCAGAAGTCTCATTCCCTTGTGGTTTCATCAGTGCGGGAGCAAAATTGTGATCCAACGTCGATTTAAACTCGTTGGAAAATCGCCGAGCGCTCGGTTAACTGACCTAACGTGGAAAAAATTGTGCTTGCAAAAATCAGTAGTCTTATTTCCTTGAACGACCGCCATCATACCATGTAGTTTTATCAGTGGGAGCAAAGTTGTCCCAGTCGGTGTAAAGTCATGACTAAATCGCCGAGCGCTCGTTAAAAACCTAACGCGGATTAAAAAAGTGCTTGCATTTTAAGACCGTGTCGGCCGGAGAGGCCTGGCACGGTAAAAATAACGCAATTTAAACACACGCCAAACTCGTACAACTGCTGGCCGTGTGTATGGCGTGTTCTGTTAGGGACATCCTTGAGTCGACTCTCGACACGGTATGGACTTGAACCGCTGATCGTATGCACCGTGTGTTCTGTTAGCGACACTGATCAACAAAACATAACTTCCATATATCTGATATAGAACTGATTAATAAAACATCGGTGTGTTCTATCGGTATATAATGGTCTATAATGGCCCAATAGTTCGACACTATTAATGAGTTCTAGAAGAAATGGAACAAAATTGCACTAATTAAACAATAGAAAACATATTTACAACCTTAACATTAAATATGAAATTGAAATTAGTTGTTTAAAAGATGTGCATACCTTATCTTTCAATACCTTAATCTGCAATACATTGGCCAGGCAGTAATGAGCAGATGAGATATTTTTGCAGGTACTGTATGATCCAAGCCACGACGAATCCCCTTCCAAAATACCACTTGGAATCTTACCAGCGGCGTCAATATCTACATATATATTGAAGAATTATATAATTGAAGAAGGCCGAAGTGCCGAAACGTCCAATAAACAGAGTTATTATAGCTTCAAGTTGGTGTTTTGCTCTATTTCATTCTACTTTTATAGTATATATATCATATATATTGTTAACTGCACTATATTTCTTTTTTACTTGATTTACTGTATACAGCCTTTTGCAAAAATTATGAGAATTGTTGAAATATCTAAATATCATAATATCGAGTGCATGATGGGTAATCCCGCGTGATGCCCTTAGTCCCTTGTCTTTGTAGTTTAGTTTTTTTTGGCGACAGACTTATCCGTAGTTCTGAACATTTTCTCGATGTCAACAATGAATTATTCTAGCAAAGCCGCGTGTTCCGGACAATATATGGATATGGATATTACGATATTTAGATATTTAGACAATTCTCATAATTTTTGCAAAAGGCTGTAAATATAATATAAATAATATATTATATAAGTAGAATGAAATTGAACAAAACACCAACTTGAAGCTTCAATATCTCTATTTCAATGAAAGTTTCGGCACTTCGGCCTTCAGCAAACACTTAATGTGTGTATTTGATTGAAATCCGTACAATGCCAAAAAATTCACTTGCGTGGATATGCCGGCAAAAAAGATTCAAATGAGTGAGTGAACAATTTTCTAATAAATGTCAGTCATTTGATTTTTTTTGAAAAAATATTGCTAGAAATATCATAATTTCAAGTGATAGAGCAACACATTTGCCAAGAAATCGGAAATAAAACTGTTCAGCAAAGTTGTCTTCGATGTACTAACATACTAAATGAGTGCTAGTTTTGTTTTGGCAAAAAAAACTTTTATATCTTTATTAGCAATCTAAAAAAAAGATGTCGATTCATATTATAACGTTCTATTTCGAGCAGCTTTAGCTTCTTGTCGCACTTAGCGTGACGAAGGCTCCCGCTCAATTAAGGTCTTCGATGCACTAAATGAGCGGGAGTTTTAAAATGTACAAAACAAATCCCCCAAAAAATATCTAAGAATTAAAAAATCTTTAATAACTTTATTAGCAATCTAAAAAAAGATGTCGATTCAATATTGTAACGCTCTATTTCGAGCAGCTTTAGTTTCTTGCCACACTTAGTGTGACGCAGACTCCCGCTCAATTAAGGTCTTCGATGCACTAAATGAGCTACTCTGCGAATAGAACATTTGCAAAAAAAATTTACAAGCGCGCGCCTGCATCGGAGTTGACTGTCCTTCTGAGGGACAAAACTGAATCAAGGCTCACGCTATGAAAAAAATATTCACGCTTCACGGCTAATTTTTTCGCATTTTCACGACTAACGGCTAATTTTTCAGCCGTTTCACGGCTCACGGCTAACCCCTCAGAGGAGAGAGTATCGCGGGCGCTCAGCGGTTATCATCATGAAGAAGAAAGTGTTTTCAAGCCGAAGACGAAAAAACGAAAATATACGACGGAATATATGAGTAATAAAGTTAAGACTTACATGCTGGTAGTAAATTGGAGTCGTTCAACAACAAGTGGAAAACTGCATCAGAACACTCTTGCGAAAGCTTAGCTTGAACTATACGAAGAGCTTTTTTGCTAAACAGCTCCATTTCCCGCAAATTTCGGTGATCAATATCCTTTAAATTCTGCATAGAAAATGAAGGCAGCGCTTGATAAACACGAACAATAAAAAAGCCTAAAAGACAGACAAGAACAAAACGATTCTGCATGACGACTTCGACTCCAAAATTTTCTGCTGTATAGACAAGTAATGAAAGTCCAATAGGTGGAATCAGATGCGATTGGACTGAGGCGACTCATATCTATTTTTGCTGTATCGCATAACGCTGTAGAGGAGGGGACGTTTGCTGGCCGGGAGGGGTGAAAGTAAAAAACATATGAATCTTCGATTAGTTCAAAATCCCCAAACTCACTTATCATGTTAAAAACGTTCGGTATCATTCTACTTCTTTTATTTTATTTTGTTCTCTACTAATTTCTAAAGACGTTTACACATGTAATTTTAGAAGGTACTGAAAAGTCATACCACTATGGCATGCGATTGACCTCATCAAGTGAGTTCAACACATGGAATAAAGTCTAACAGACTTTGTACCAAGGAGTAATATTTCTGGTAACGAGGAACGATTGACACGGTGGATTATCCGGTACAAAACACTATGTTATTTAAGTATTTTGTGAATACTTGTTGGTTCACGACTCCAAATTAATACCAGCATGTAAGTCCACCTCACCTCACACACCATCATCTATCTCCCTCCTATAACTCTTCGATTGCTTCGCAATCTTCGAGTTAAAAATGAGGCACAGCATTGGAGAATTCGAAACTGGATTATTGTAGTAATTTTAAAAAGGTCAAGTATACCACAGTATCAAAATCAGACAGTTTGCAAAGTCTCGGTGATAGTTGGCGCCGTGGCAGCGATCTCAACAAGATGGTTATCCGGCTCTATAAAACTATGATCGCTCCAATCTTCATCTAGCAATACTCCTGCGTGAACATTAACATTGTTTTCTTGTCGCAGAAATGACTTTAAACCTAAGTAAATTTTACTTCAACAAACCGAAGTCTCATGTCGTGGGTGCTAGAGGTATACAAGCTAATCTGCAAAGGTATCGTCCTTCTATCTTCTCCCTGAAAAGGTCAGTAAAGAAAGGGCATTCCTGGTTATATCAACAAGCTAAGCAAGTTCAAATCCCATAACTGTCCGACAAGACCAAATCTATCAGAGACTTATGTACTTCAAAAAGATACATGGTGTTCGGGCGAGCCACAGCAGATAGCATTCAAGAAAAATAAAAGAATCTCTGAAGGTATAGAGGAAAAGAAAAATTAAATTCCTCAGATGCGTCCTCGTATAAGGATTGGGAGCAGTGTTGCTTCAGGAAGATAGATGATGAGAAGGCATTAAAAAAATAGATGTGACATAGTAAGAAGAACAATAGAGAATATATTTACTGAACAAAAAGTGTCCACCAGAGTCACTAGAGAGCCAACTACAGTGAATGTATTTATTTTTTACAAAGTTTTTGTGTCATTATGATGTGAAGATGAGGTCTGACTACCTAATCCTTGTTATACGTTATAACGGTTAATTCATAATACCACAAACAACCAGGCCTCGATTTTTGTTTGGGTGTTTTTTTTTCTGCAGAAAACTTCCGCTTGCGGTTGCTTTCCCGAAAACCATAAAAAGTGTGCAAGTAGTCACAGCAGTCAACGACTGGACTCGTTTATCGAAACGTCTGGAAAACAGTTGATGTGTGTATTGCGAAGTTAAACTATACAACTTTTGTTCATTATGGAAATACACCCTGTAAAAATCACATCTACAATTTACTGCTCATGCAATCGCAAACCAGTGAAATATTTAAAATTGAATACAATTTTTAAAACATTAAAAACTACTGATATAGTGGTGATGCGACAAATTTCGTTCTCTAATCGAATAATTTCTCGAGTTGCATGGCAGGGAATTCAAGCGCTATTGCGAGAATGAACGACAATCCGTAGGAGACCATCAAACAACCAAGGAAGTAGATGACCTTAAATACAAAAGAAAAAAAACATGTCAAAATACACAGACTCACAAAATACACCACAATCAAATATTACAGACTATCTTCAGTCAAGCTATTAGAGTACATTTTTACATACTCGAATTACTAGAAGGTTTTGCATAACTGGTATCTTTCTTTAAAGCCACAATTGTTTATGATCCCACACAAAAAATCAAAGACTTTGAGAAGTCCTTCAAAGTTCTCCAATTCGGAATCCCGTAAAGTCCTCATTGTCGACTAAACATTACACAGTACTCAATGTTCCATTGGGTAATAGTTTTGACCATGTCACATAAAGGTCATAAAATGTTTTTTCACAAGGGAAGTTTATCTCAGACATACAAAGTCTACAATCTCCTTCAAAAAAAAGTCACGTCGATTTTCTCTCCCCCCAGCATAATGATTGTTGATTCCACGCTACAAAAAGTCACGATTTCCCGGGAATACTTAGCGGAGTCATCCACACAACTTTTTATCAGGGGTAGGAGAGCAAGCGACACATTTTTTTGCAGAAGATTGTAGTCCCAGACTCTTTTTAGCTCACACCCGTTGAAGTATTATTGGTCAAACTTGCATGCCAATGCACTGCATCATCCAATAAGAAACGACCAGGAATTTAAATGATCATTTGTTCGACGAACTTTTACACGTAGAAACCAATCGTATGCTAATTATTTTGTAGTAACAATTAGGAGTATTTGATGCATTCAGCACGTCCATTTAACTAAAATCTCATGTTTACAAAATTCCAGTATGCAAAATCATTAAAGTCCAAATCATTCACAAATATACACAAATATCTGAAATTTGAAACTGACTTGTCTAGTTTTGTGTCCGATTTCGTAATAAGACATCATTGCACTGTACTTTGTACAAATCTATATTTTGATGATGCATTTGAGTGATAATTAGCTGCATACTTCATTAAAGAAGACACGAGACAAGAGTAGGTTCTGTCGTATGACTGCCATATATGGATGTAAATATAAAGGGTCACTAATGTACGCATAGAAGGCCTGTCATGGATACATTATGTGGAGAAGAATGTCCAGACTTAACTTAAACTGAAAATAATTATTTTAAGGAAGAGCATTGAGATTTGGTCCAGCGATTCAATGTGTAGTGTATATGTACATCCATATATGGAAGGAGAGATTCTACTCCACGACAAACACATGCGCAAACAAGTTCCTCTGGTCCCTTTCTCCCGCGACCAAAATTCAGTGAAGCGGGATAAAAAGGGTCTGGAACTACACTAAGGCATGCAACAAGCAGCAACTCACCATTAAGAAATCAGTGTATGCTACAGTGTTCTGTAGGCTGCCATAAAACGCTAAAAGTACCATGGGATGGACTAGGTAAACACCGTATGTCAATCGACTCAAAGGAATCCAGAATCGAGCTGATAAAATATTGTCCACCAGACCTAGAGATGAAATAGAAGACGTTTTTTAGAAACCATTTAATTCAGGATAAGATGTCCAAGGAGTGGCATGATACAAGAAAAAACAACAACTATAAACTTATATGATTAGACAGAGATTGATCTACCACTGTGACACCAGCAACATCCACGATCTCTACATATTTATTTTTTCACCACTGCAAAACACATATAGACCCGGACCTGAAATCGAACGGGTACTACAGCGGTGATAAACCATCGCTTAGCTGACCTTATTGGGATTCAAACGTGCATCGCGAGCTCCTGAAGCACCCAAATGAATAAGAGAAAATTGTGTTTTTCGATACAATCTTTGTACTCTTAAGTAGAACATGCCTTCCTTGAACTTACCCCCAGCTCCAGCATGGCAAACGTAAATAACCCACGCAARCGCGAGAGCCCAAGCGAATCTGGAAAATGTGCCATACACAACATTCTCGGTATCTGTCAATGGAATTGGATTGTCGGCTCTAACGGCTTTATACAATCCATATAATGACGAGAATGCACAAATAAAGGCAATGGACCAGCCAATTACCAGGAATATCATTCGCGGAATCTGGAATAACAAGTTTCAATATAATATATAGCAAAATCAAGTACTTTTTACGATTGGCATAGTACAGCATTATAAGCCCGCGTTAGATATATAACGGCCATTGACAACTTTCATAATTGCCATCCCTAATTAGCATATTATCGTTAAATTCGCAATGTTCACAAAAGAAAACACAAAGATGATATAGATATCAAAGCTAAAGATAAGTTCTGAATGTTTCACAGAAAAATATGAAATACTCCAGTTTATGCAAGCTTAGCATTTATTGTCAGTTTGCATAACTAAAAAAACTTTAGAATTCAGTATGATTTATATGATCAAAACTAGGTTTCTCCTTACCTCAAACATTTCAATGGCCTTTTCAACCAGCCAATTAAAGTTCACGTTTTAACGAAAGACGAAGTTTGCAGGTTTGATAAATTGTGAAAAAAATGGCGGACGACGGCGGGCGACTTTCTTTCTATCTTTCTTTGTGCATCAAAATTGCTTTTTTAGTGATATCGATATTTCGCCACATCAAATCTGATTGCTTGTATGTAGACTATTTTTGAAGAGGAGTTTGCAGTTAAATCAATTGACAGATTCGGTTCGTCCAACGGAACAAAATCTACCAAAGTCAGTAAATTCAAAGTACGAAATTCTCATAAACATGCTCTTTCTTTTGTATAATTACCTTTTTGAGCTAAGTATAATAAATATGTTTATAATATTTGTTTGCATGTCAAAAAAAGATGTGTTTACAGAATGTGTTTACATTCCTTGAAACAGCGTACATCTACTAACTAGGCTATCATTTAAATAGTAGTACTAGAAAATTATTCTCTTTTTTTTGCTATTGGAGCTCCTATATTAGGTATAACCTAATTTTTATATTTTTATTCGTCCATTGACGTTTGCTGATATTTAGTTCACTAATGTCTCTTTCTGATGGTTCTTCCATATGAGAGTGTTTCATGTTTCCATAATATTGTCAAATATATGAAATCGATACTAGGCAATTACGAAAGTGGTTTATGGTATTATATGACGTCATACGACTTCCGATAAGATGCACACTGGGATTGATCAGAGTAACAACCAATCCAAGATCATGGAGTTGTGTGATGTTTTGGGAACACCATTGCTTCGAATGGAATGTGATCATGGACTATCAACTTACAATTCGAAGTTTTAGCAGGAATGAATGCGTTTTGTCAGCAAAGAATACATAACCAAGTGCAAGACCAACGAGGTAAGGTGATATGCGACAGTAAGGCTTGATGTAGACGTAGTTGGTGAATTGGCTGGCTTTAGTTCCCATCTGTTGCCTTAACACAAACATATGGCATTAGCTCTATACATTATATGCATGCACCTTAAAGGTAACCTTGCCTCTGCATCGAATCAAGACGACATTGAGCGTGCAGTGATAGAAACCTTCTTTCACACCTACAGACAATTATTCACAGGTATCTATCATTGCACGCTCAATAGTCGTCTAACTTCGATGGCAAGGAACGGCTTTCAAGATGACCCAAGAAATCGTGAAAGAGACTATTGAGTTTGAAATGATGAGTACCTTCTTTGGCACCAACAGAATATTATTCAAAGGTATCTATCGTATCTATCATGATTGCACCGTCAACTGCTGTTTCACATTAGTGTAAGCGTACGGCTAACTTTCAAGATGGCGCAGAGAACCGTGAAGAAGAATGTACAATCGTTGGAGGGTTCAATAAATAAAACGTTGACATTAAGGCAGCGAAATGCGAGAAACAAAATTGTCCCACTGTTCACGCTACGTCGTTGCTGTTCAAGCTGAAACACGATGTCCCCAGATCTGATTCTATAAGCAATTCATCCAGCCTGCGCATCGCTMCGAAGCCATTTGCTGTAAATTGAGCAAACGACGCGTGATAATTTGATAGAGGTATCGTAATCAACATATCAGCCTACGATATTTTGCTCGACAAGTTGGTAGTTCTATGGAAAACGACTAACAAACATAAATTTGTTGAAGAAAATCGATAAATCCACGATGATAACGCAGTGAGTTCAGTAATAACTTTTTTGTGGTGCTTGAAGTTGCTTGAACTAACGATTAAAATACCTATTTTTAAGCCTTTTGTACATCTGACAGATTCGTAAGGGATTGACAAAGACTTAAAAATGATTGACTGACACTTTGAAACTTGAACATGGACATGAACATGACATGATTATTCAGCCTTGTAATACTTACAAAAAGAAGGTGGACTGACTTGCCGGGAGGTGATAATAGCCCATAATGACCCCCGTAGTTATGAAACCTGCAAACAGGAAACTACCAACACTCAGGACCATTCCTAGAAGCTTCAACCTGATAAGAGTCATATAATCATGGCTGTTAGTAACAAGAGTTCAGTGCGCTCGGTCGCATATGATCATAACAAATGTCTCAATCTACTAAAAGGGGTTTTTCCATTGTAGTTCTTTTTTCCCCAAATTAACAATGCAATCCGCATTTTGAGGCGATTGCGATGATTATACACCTATTTCAAAAAACCTTTTCACGAGGACACAGTCCACAGTCTTGAGCCTGCTAAGAATCTAGGGGTTTCCAGCACGACTAACGCATTTTTCTAAGAGCGCGCGACGATAATATAAAAGCCGGCGCATTCCTTCTTTTCTCTCTCTCAAGCAATTATATAGATGGGAGCTATTGCCTCGAAACGAGCCTCAAGCCACTATGCTATCGCCTTGTAATTGCGAGTGTGTATGAATGTAATGCGGGATAACTCCGCTTTTACTCCAGCACATTTTCGTTATTGTTCGGATACATTCGTAATCTTCCGTGATAATTGGGCTTCCTGTGTAACTACGTCATAAACAGATTGATGATGTCACAACTAATCCTGCCTACCCCTCCCCTCACAATTATCTACAACATATATACGCCTATCGTGCAGGCTATATGGATCAACAAGCCCAAAAAACACATCTCCTCAACGCCAATCAACTATATCTCATCAGGAGCTGAATTAATGCAAACAATAACTTCAACTAACAGCCAAATCGTAGCCGATTTTCAATTCCCTATCGAATCAAACTGCTAGCCAATGTTATTACAGTATTATGAGATGTATACATGTAGTTTGATTCTCCAGCTGTTATCATAACCGTCCTCTTATTGTGACATTAGGTAGAAAAATGTCAATAAATGTGATTTCAACCACTGAACACATTGCAAATTCAAAGGAATATTCATTTTATCACAACACAATTCATTTTATCACAATACATATAAAGCACTATGTATCCGCTACACGTCTGTCACACGTCAATCTTAGATGACTATTTGATTGACAAATGTAGAATGATACTACATGTGAGCTGCTCATGCGTGCACTTCAGATGTTTCAATAAGATTAGAATGGCTACTACTATTGTAAGCGAATCAAAATATTCTAGTTTCTACATTCTGAAAGGATAGTCGAGGGCCTTGTAGAGTATAACATACGATATTTTAGATCCATGAAGAGTTATGATGACGTCACCTTTACTGGCAATGTTTTATGGGTAATTTAGCTCAAACACGACATAATACAAAGATATATACATAGATTGGCAAAAAGGTAAAACTAAAGTCGACCTAGCCTACGGCTAGCCCGACTTAAAACTTTACAGTTTTTAACTTCTTAATATTTTTGGTTTACATAGTTTTTTTAAGGAAATAAAACTAATATTTAGCTTTCTATTTTACTACCTAGCACATGCAGTACTAGACTGCGTATTTTTTGAAATAGGTGTATATCAATTAGGCCTATGTCCTTGCCTTTCTTTATACTCTCTTTGCATAGCAGTTAGGATTAGGGTTGACTTAGTCCCGTGTCCATTGAAAGATTTGATTTTATGTAATATATAAAATATAAGCGAGAGACCTTAATATGCCTATAAAACTGCAAGCTGCAAGCGTGCAGTTTTAGAGCCCATGAAGGTCGGACGCGAATATTTTATATTGCTTATCAAATTCCAACATAAGCTAAAGCATATTTTGAATAAAATTTCAAAATAAAATATTATTTGTAAGAGAAAATCAAAGTCGTATACAAATCAGAAAAAATCTCTTGCTCATATAAAGATGCGGTCACGGCAATGATTTTCCATTGTGTTTACCTCATGAATTATTAATGATTTTGATAATATACGATTCTTATCTAACTGCACCAAATCCAACTTTATTTGATGTAAAGTTATGTTTCATGTTTATAAGTGCTGTGCATGCATTCCTTACCTGTACATGGCGTACAAAAACAATGGTGCAATGCAATAAAACTGATAGTCATTGGCTAAATACCAGGACCAGCCCAGACACTGAAATAAAAAATAAATGAAGAAATAAAAACAAGAAGAAAATAGAGAACTTGAAGAAGAAGAGCAACAAGGAAAAGATGATGAACAGAGACAAGAGAAACAACAACAACAAAACAGCAGCAACAACAACAAAACAGCAGCAACAACCATGTGAAGAAAACGAAAATTAATAACGACAATGTGTTGGTAACGAGGAGCGATGACAACGATAAAATAAGAACCTCAACTAAGAAGAAAGTCAACATAAGAACAACGACAACCATATCGACATAAGTAGGAAGAACCACATAAACAAAGAAGGAAAACAACATAATAATAACGAAATAATAACGAAAACAACATAAAAACAGTAATATATAACATAACATTATTAACAGCAACGACAACAAAAATAAAAGCAAAAAAAAAAACAAAAATAAAAGCACAATAACTATAGAACAACAACAAAACAAGCAACAATTTTTACTTCTTTGCCAAGATCCGCTGGATAAAAGTTGTTTAGGTATAGCAAATTTGTCCACCATTTGGTGTCGCATGGATTAGGCTGTTGATTCATGTACCACAATGGTCCCTCACCAACATGTTTGAACAGGCTTGTGAAAAACAGTATACAAAACATGTAGGTTGGAGTTAACCTAGAACAATATACGAAATTAACTACTTATCATGATTTCATGCAAAGAAGAAATTCATGTTCCAAGTAACAGTCAAAGTTTCATAAAGAGTCTATAAAGGCCAGTTCGCATTTCCAATTTTTGCAGCGCGATAACCGCCACTTTGCTATTGCGCAACTAAAATCGTATGTGTAAACCGCTCTTCAAAAATCGCAAACGGGCCTTAATAAAGGAAAGTTACACTAACTAAACCTAAGCAAAGCAAAATTTATTTAAAAAAATAGGAATATTAGATGACGATGGAATTTCATGGGAAATAAATTTAGTATGAAAAGCAAAGTAGAGCAGTACAGAGTGGAACAAGTATTAATTGTGTACCTCCAATATCGATGTAAATAGAACTGAAGTAGGGGAAGTCTTCCATTGTTTTTTTCCATTCGTCTAAGTCCAATGTAGCTTACCAGAAGACCACTGACATTAGAAAGAGAAATTATCATAAAACAAACAACAACGTCATAAGACAGCAATCATAGAGCTTGAGAGAACGGAACGCGGCAATGAAAAAAAGAAAAAGTTGTACAGTGAAATTACTTATCAATTAGGGCTAGAGTAGTTACCTTAAGAAGAAGAAGCTGTCCACTGAAAAGAAAGCATTGTCTATTGCTTGGAAAGAAAACCTGTGGATGATCTTCTCGGCTGCCAATATATTTTCTGCAATCCAGATCAAATCAGCTTTGTATATATAACATATTTTCATGGCGAGCGCTCTCATTGCCTGATCACAACGAGTTCATCGTAATATAAAAACGTATCTTCATTTTTTTAATGTTCTGTGAATTAAGATATCACAAGATTCCCTCTTCAAATCGAACATTTGGAAGTCAGTATCATTTTTAGTGTATAAAAAATGTAAACTAAGATCATGAAATGCCAGGTGGTAATGAATGGCCCTCAAACTGTGATTGTTCATGAAGCTAAGGAGGAGCAATATTGAAGTCTAAAGTCTTTTGAAAGACATACACACAGGCATATAACCTAATCACCTGTGCAATATGTTCTTCAAATAGGGGTAGGCATTGTACTAAACTATGGAATTGTACTGCCATGAGGCTCCCACTTGCCTAACGGCAGCTACTGCCCTGTCAACTTACTTCCAACATAAGTTATAAACAAAAAGTAGTAGACATGACCAAGCACAACCCATGAGATACTCAGTACTCTCATTCCATTAATGGAGGTGATGGCTCCTGGTGCTGTCTTGGTGTCCATGATTTTCTTCGTATTTGCAATAATGGAGAAGCACTTGAAAAATCTGATGATGATAGCTAGAAGAGGAAAATATACTGTCAAAAGCCTGGTCGACACCTGGGTGGGACATGGCCAGTCGAAATATTGGGAGCATAAAAACACAGCCATAAACTTTACAAATGTAAATCACTCCAACATAATGATTTTCATACGTACAGGCCAGGGACTACCAAAAAAAAAAAATACACAAAAAGGTATTCGGTGACAGTCACCTCGATGAACATTACAACTGAACAACAGACAACTCCTTTTATTAAATTTAATAGGCGTAATACAATACAATACAATACAATACAATACAATACAATACAATACAATACAATACAATGAACTTTATTTTAAGAGGGTAACACTTGACAGTATTAAAAACACTGATGAACTCGTGGCCCTCTAACATTATAAAAATTACAATAATTACATATATATATTTCTAAAAATCTTAAATAGATAAGAATTATTAAAATACTACTTAAGTTACATAGCTTCGAATTTCTCCTCCTTTCGTTGTTTATTTAAAATTTCCCTGTGCATGGTTTTCTTAAAAAGTTTAACAGACTGAATAGATTTTAAAAATAATTAAATAATTTTATTAATTTCCATTCTTATATATGGAGGATACTGGGTGATTGATTTGCGACCAGGCCTGCCTATGAATTCGCCAAGGTTGTAAGCCAGTGAGCCCGTGCATTTTTGTTAAGCAGTCATATTTGAAAATGTAAATAAAGGAAAGGGAAAACCCGCAGCTCGCCTTTCACTCAGATAAATAGTACAAGTCGTATTGAATTTATTTACATAACTAAACAAAATGATTATAGAATTAAACCTTT